CCAAAAGTCTGGGCGATTCCAGCAGCAACTCAGAAACTAGGGCGGTCAACTCAGATAGGGAGTCTGTTAAGCAACGGGGCGGCCGGTATACCAACAGAATCCCTAAGCTATCCCTGGTCTTCAGGCTAAGGTATATACACTTGATGTAGGTCATTTTCCAGATAGGCTTCCTGATCAGGGTTAAGATATTCTTGTGGACCAAGGCTATGCCGCTCCTCTGCCCACTTTCCCTCACCTGCTCCCTGACTAAGTACCCGGCTGGAAGGGCCTGCGCCCATGTCGTGGCACTGGCATCCCCCAGTCAGGTCTCAGTGAAGCATGCCAGGTCGGCCTCCTCATCCTCTATAAGATCGTGGATGATATGGGTCTTATTTTTGACTGACCTGGCATTGCAAAGGATCAGGTTTTGAGAAACAGTCTCAAAAGGTTGATCCGGAGGGCTTTAAACTGAGTTATGTGGGGGAGGGAGACAGTATTGTGGAAAGAAATGGGCTGGACAAAATAATCATACTGTCATAGAGGGAACAAGACATACAGTGCAAGGATCCAACAGTGGGAGGCAAAGAAATTTGCACAGGCAACAAAGGGTGCTCAACAATGGCTCCTCTTCATCCTGGAGAGGTGACCAGTGGGGTGCCACAGGGTTCTGTCCTGGGCCCAGCGCTATTCAGCATCTTTATCAATGACTTGGATGAAATAACAGGAGGTATACTTATCAAATTTGCAGATGACACCAAATTAGGAGGAGTAGCTAAGACCCCAGAGGACAGGATGAAAATTCAAAATGACCTTCATAGATCAGAAAGCTGGGCCAAAGCTAACAAAATGAAATTCAACATGGAGAAATGTAAGATAGCAGAAAAATGAAATGCATAGATATAGGATGGCGGACACCTGGCTTAATGAGACTACGTGTGAAAGGGATCTAGGAGTCCTAGGGGGGATACAGATGGGCGGCCATGGGCTGCCCTGAGAAGTGGCAGATTGGGGCCAAGGCTGCCCCATGCCTCAGCCCCAATCCTCCCTTTTGCTGCCTGGGAAAGGAGCGCTAAAATAGAGCTCCTTCCACAAGCTGTGAAAGGGGCGCCTGAAGAGCTGCCATGCGGCTCTTTTGCGCCTCTTCCAGCTCAGCCTGTCCGGACACTGAGCTGGAAGGATGTCATCAGAGCGCCCGTCATGTGCATTGACAGGAACTCTGATGATGTTCTCAAGAAGGGGTTGGGGTGTCCGGCTGTCCCTTTCCTTCCTGGGATTGAAGATGGCGCTTTGCGCCATCTACAAAGGGGGCTAGTAGACCTAGTAAAACAGGACCTGGAATAATGGATGCAAGCTGCAGGAAAAGGGATTCCACTACAACATTAGGAGGCACTTCATGATAGTAAGGGCTGTCTGACAGTGGAGCACACTCCCTCGGAGAGTGGTGAAATCTCCTTCTTTAGAGGTTTTTAAACAGAGGCTGGATGACCATCTGTCGGTATACTTTGATTGGGAGTTCCTGCATGGCAGTGGGGTTGGACTGATAACCCTTGTGGTCTCTTCCAGCTCTATGATTCTACCTGGAAATGTGCCCCTCATCAATTTGTCCCTAGCCTATTTCAGTTATTGCTGCTTAAAACCATACTAATACTATCTGACTGCCTCCATTTTTGCCTTTGTAGTGACATGTAAATTACTGACAGCTGTGATTTCAGCTGGCTATTTCATGACCCATCCAAATCATTCAGCTGTTTTTTTAAAAAATACACAAGTAAGGAGCTTTCTGTTTCTTTCTTACCATTGTGTTTGTGTATTTTAAAATAAAAAACAAACAGTAATATGGATTATTATTAATTTATGCTATGCTATAATAGTTTGTTGTTGTGTGCCTTTGAATCATTTCTGGCTTAACAGTGACCCAAAATGAACTTATCATGAGGTTGTTGGGTGTTTGTTTGTTTGTTTGTTTTTGGCAATGTTGGTTCAGAGGGAGATTTGTCATTGTCTTCCTGTGTGTGTGTTGCCTAAAATCACCCAGTTGGTTTCCATAGCCAAGTGGGGATTTGAACTTGGGTCTTCCAGAGTCCAACATTCAGATGACTATATAACATTGGGTCCCCTAATATTATGTTGTTCAACTATAACTTCTACTATCACAAAACATTGGTCATGTTAACTGGGGGCAAAGGGAGATATTGGGATCTGCACATGTCCAACCATATTTTCAAATGTCTCATTTTCTCCCCTTTTTAGTATTATGTGGAATAATCAGGGTGTATATATTGCTCTAGTGTTAAGACTGCCCTTTTTTGGTCAGACTTTAAAGCAGGGAATCTAAATACTATTACATAGTATCCATTGCCTATTTGGTGAAAGGGGGCAAAAGTTAAGAAGTACCTTGAAGAGGAAGAAGAAGAAAAAGAAGAAGTTCAAAGCTGAATCCAAAGTGAAATGCCAGAGGTAATAAACCTAATGTAATGGAAAATATAATCCCAACCTTATCAAGTGTGATGTTCTGAATTAGATATTGTAGGTGGGAGAGAGAGAAAGAAAGTCCCCAGCCAAATGTCAGGTTAAAGGGCTCTGACCTTTTTGAGCTGCTTGCCCACGCTGCTCCAAGTGGAAGAGAGGCTATTCTCTGCATTGCCATTCTCTGAGATGCATCTGAAAGTCTGAG